TCTCACCCAAAATCCTTAATTTCTTTATCCTCCACTCTCCTTATTCACTTCTCAACCTCCATAACCATATTTCTTACCCCCAACACCACTCTCACCCAAAACCCCAAATTTCAAGTGTAGAGAGAGAAAGCTTCAACTCCATTAATGGCTTCAAGGAAGAGAACTAGGAGAGCACCTCAACAACCACAACTAGACTTAGAGAGCATTCCCGCCTACCCCAACATTCGGTTCATGGCCGAGTTCCCAAACTAAAAGGCGCGTTTTCTTGAGCTTCAACATCGAAAGGTCATCCCCACTCGGTTTATTGACCAATCTCTTTTTGCTAAACTTGGTATTGATAGTGAATGTAGAAATTTATTTGCTAGGCTTGGTATGACTCAATTGTTCAATATGATTCATTATACTTTTGAGAATATTACACTCGAATTTTTGAGTTCATTTGATGTTGTCAAGGGGAGAGATGGACTAGTCACACATGTAGTATATAGGCTTATGAACAAATCTCACCGTCTCACCCTAGACGGTTTTGGTAGGAAATTTGGCCTCCTTTCTACGGGATTAATCATGCAACTCGACAACTTTACTTCGGGGGAATTGTGGTTGGCTATGACAGGAGAAACATAGAATCAATGCAACATGCCCGAGCCCACAAAATACACCTACCCGTCCTTAGGCTATGGACTCGTTCCTCGGGGTGGACAATATTTGGGAGAATAGAGCCTAATAACGTTAGGGTGGATGAGGTAGCCATCTTGGGTAGCTACTTAAGGTATGGGGATGATGAAGAGGGGTTTCTAATGAACATAGCCCACCTATTCGCCCTCCACCTTAGGAAGCAAGGAGCCACCTGCACTACCATAAAACCCAATGGAGACCGCACCAACATTCCTATTGTTTTAGGCGGTTTAGTGACTCATTTAGCGGTTAAGGAGGGCTTTGTTGAAGCCCAACACACACCTGTGCCGGGTCCTATCACTTTGGACTAGCACTACCTCACCACCACCGGCTGGTTGTAGGTGGAATATGGTAGTTATAGCTGGCTTTTAGACAAGAGCACTAGGCGATCCATTTCCTTACCCGCTCCTAAGCTCACTAGGATCCACCCTCACCAGCCCTCCTACCTTCTAGAGGCCCCTAGCGGTCCACCTCAACCGGTTGCCCCTACGAGGACCTACCATAGGCGAGAGAAAGCTGGCCCTTCCTCTTCCACTACTCCACCTGTCTCTTCTAATCATGCGGCCATCGTGGCCGGTATACAGGAGCTTCAGTTAGGCCAGCAGAGCCTATCCTCCCGTCTCCAAACACTAGAGACCAATGTTCGTCGGTTTATGTACCCCGTTTACGATTTCTTTTGCAGGCAAGGTCATATCCCGAGGGATGCAGACCATCCCTCGTGGTACACCTTTCCCGATATGGGTGATATTGGAGGTAGTAGTGGGGCGGCCAGTGATGATGACGGTGTTGATGCTGATGGTGATGACGATGATGATGGTAGTGATGATGAGTTTTCTTGAGGACTCACGCGTGCTTTTTCACTTCCTACACGTTGCAATGAGGCCATTGCCGAGTGTATCTTGGGGGAAGTTTGTGCATATATAGTTGCTTCGGTACGTTCTCTTAGTACTTTTGCTTTGATTTGTTTGGTAGTTGCTTTATTTTCTTAGTTTCTTTGGTAGTATATTGAAAAAAATTGAAAAATTGAAAAAAAAAAAGAAGTGAAAAATACGAGAATCATGATAATGAACGGCCATTGAACTACTTCTCTGTGCCCCTATCCTTAATGCCAAAAGGTTTTGATTTAATTCGATTGATAGACTTGCATTGCGGATTAAAAGATCATGATTTGACCTTGAATTGTTTGATCCCTAGTAGGAGTCAATGTTGTTAACCATGTATGAGTTTGGAGCTTGATTGTGTTAACCGCGAGGCTTGAGCCTTATTTACTCATTCATGTGTGTTAAGTTCCTAGTGTGATGTTGATATTAGTTTTGACTCTAGACTTTTAGTAATGTGTCATAATGCATTGCACGTGCACGTTGAGAATGACAAAGGCCATGTTCATTAGGTGACCTCCAAATGAAATTAGAACGTTTGTTCCCTTCTTGCTCACCCATGTTGTAGCTTGTCTTTATTTTTCGTGAACCTCACAAAATTAACCCTTGGATTGGTTATTTTTCCCAAGTCTAGCTTGGGGGAGCTTCATTGCGTGGGGTTTTGTGTGATTTTGTTATGAGTTGCAATTAATGTGGAATTGTATGAAAAAAGGAGAAAAGAAGGAAATTTTAGCATGGAGGTTGTTACTTGAAAATAAAAAAAAAAAGAGAAAAAAAAGAAAGAACAACAAAGAAAGAAATGATAAAAAAGAAAGAATGGTTGTTCTTGAGAAGAAAAAAGAAATAAAACAAAATTGAAAAAAAAAAGAATTTGAAGTTGAAAAAAATGTAAAAGTGGTAGCGGATGTTCCTTGAATAATTTGGGTATGTGCTTTTGTTGATGAGAATAATGGATCGAGGATGTTTATTGATGCATTTGATAGCTCCTCGGTTAGACTATAATAGCCCACATTTCCCAAATTTATTTCATACCCACTCTTATCCCGGCCTACGTTACAAGCTTGAAAAAAGTCCTTCCGATCTTCGTGCATGGTATTGTGTTCATGTGAAACGAGTCTTTTGTCAAAATGCTGGAGTATATATCACATTTCGAGTCGACATTTGACTGGGTTGAGCGATATTATAACCCTCTAAACACGCGAGTGTTGTGAGATGGGGGGATTGCATTATTGGTGGGGATGGTGAGAGATCGAGCTCATTTTTAGCTTGCCACATATATAGTGTGCTGAGTGACCACCAATGTGAGATATTCTAGTCATCAATTCTTGAGTCATCAATTCTTGAGTTGTACATGGTTGATTTCACTTGACGACTATTTAGGTTGATTGATGGTTTGAGTGATTTGATTGGTTGGCTATGATGCATGGTTGTTTGATTTCGATTTTTGGACCTTTGTTTAAAAAACTGCATTATGGGGTGAAGTATGTTTATTTGGTTGTTGATTATTTTTGATTGCCTTGCTTGAGGACAAGCAAGAGGTTAGCTTGGGGGAATTTGATGTACATGTTTTATACCATGATTTATCCCGATTTTCCAACATATTCTTGCATGGTTTTAGGCTCTTTGGAGCCAATTCTCGCTAACAATCTCTTCTCTAGTGTGTTCGATGTGTTTTTGTGAGTTTTGTAGGAATGTGGAGTTCCTTGGATGAATCGGACATGTTATAGATGTTTATGGAGGTTGTTAGTGAGCGAAGATGATGATCTCCCAAGTGCCCGGTTGATCATGGCTTGCCCGGTGGGACCGGAAATTGAAGAATGTGTAGCTGAGCTGTTTTAGGACGAGAAGGCAACAATATTGGCAGAATGTCTCACGCGCCCAATCAGGCTAGGTCCACTCGGTTGGACTGGGCGCGTGGTAGAAGGAAGACTATGAAGAAGACACTCAAGGCAGCAAGCAGGCTACGAAGAAGACCCTCGCGCCCGATCGGGCACCACTCATCCGGTGGGACCGGGCGCAAGGGAGAAGAAGAAGTATGAAACTCAGCAACTCAGTATTACCACCTGCCCGATCGGGCAATGCTTGCCTGGTTGGACCGGGCATGGTTTCGCGGATCCGGTTTTTATTCTCGAATTTTTATCTTTATGAGGTTATAAATACCCTTTGTAATCACAATTAGAAAACACTTTTATTATGTCCATTAGCATTATTTTTCCCTCTAGAATCCTAGTTACTCTCTTTTATGCAATTTAATTCTTCCATTAGATTTGATTATTGTTCATCAACAATTTGAGTTATTTCAATTGAAGCATCATTGGTATTCATCTATTTCTCTTCCCTTACAATTATTATTTCTTTTTTATTATGTTCTCCTTATTGAATATTGTTGTAGGTTTTGCTAGTATGTGTGAGTAGATTCATAATCCAGGATCTTGCAAAGCCCGGATATGATTAATTCTTAGATTAAATCTTTAAATTCTCCAATAATATTTTCCAATTGACATGCTTGATTAATTGTGTTTATGCCAATACTAGATTAGGAATAATTGGTATTGTTATCATCCCTTTGTTCTTATTGCAACGGAAGTTGAATATTAACGGGATTTGGGTATTTCAGTTAAGGGTTTGAAGGTCATCACGGAAGTAGATGATTGAATGATTAGGAAGTTAAGTATTGTGTTTAATGTCCCTTATTTGCTTGATTCCATGGAAATAGGCTTGATAGTTGATTTGGGAAGCCATTGATAACTCGGAAGAGACCTTTGGTATTTTCTAGGGAGTACTTTTCCTCTTGTCGATTGAATTGTTATTGAGGGTAGAATTATTTATGCATTGATTATATTCGTGGTAATGCTTGATCTTGGATGCTTTAGTTTATTGATTTATCACATTTCTTAGATTTATTGAGTCCTTTATATGTTAGGTCTTAGTATTATTCGCCATTGATTGTTACTTGCTTATTGATAATTTGAGTCTATTAAATAAGTTGAACCTTAGTCTCTTGGGATTCGATCCTTACTTGCCCGTCTACATAGTAGTGGTCTCGTTAGGTTATTTTTGTTAGGTACGCGACACGCCTACCACATTATCAAACCAATTATAATTAACATATCAGACGTATTCACAAACTATCACGATATTGTCCAATATAAGGGGTATATAGTACATAAACTTAACAGCCCCTCACCTTAATGTTAAAAATTGCTAGTAATCTGATGGTAAATATTCATGCACAAGTAATTAAAAGGCCTAGAGGCACAGGACATCACAGTATACTAGTCACAAAGGATTGCATGATATTTTTAATCATTATTATGCTCAACAACCAAATGCGTTATGCCACAAATTCATCACATAAACATATGCATCAGCAACACACTCAAAGCAACAGTGCATTACTGAGAACAATACCTAAGAAATGCACAATATTGAGTGAGAAAGTAATACCAGGAGACTAGACAACTTTTTCAAAAAGATACGATTATCCTCATCATAATTCAGATTATTAATAAACTGAATTTTTCCTTTAGTCAAAATCACCAAAAATAAGCAATAGTGATTGCCCCAAAGACAAGTTAAAAATATCTGCAACAATAATACCACAATTAGTCAGAATAAAAAAAACACATATAGATTCCATTTTTGATATTATAGTGACCTCTTTTAAAAATATACTTATGCAATTTTCAATAGTCACTCTCATTTAAAAAAAGGTATCTATAACATAAAAAAAAAGGAACTATATTTTTTAAAGCATAAAAAAACAGAAAATATTACCAGCTCAACTTCTGACAAATCAAAATCATTTCAAGCTATTTTCATCCACTCCTCCAAACCTTGATAAACATTGTCCATTATTTGTGAATTGCCATCACTGCCGACAACTTCTACTATTGTAACCTACATAATATTTTAACAAATAAAAAAAACAGTAAAAAGTAAAAACATGTATAAACATTGAAATAATTAAACAACTCACACTAATTGAAGAACCAAAGTACAATTTCCAAGGTCCATCCTTTAAATATTTTTTATTTTCATTGAGAAGCAATGCCTAGCAATCCAAAATACTACTGCTCATGATTTCAGAAGGCTCTCCTAATGTGTAGAATTCTTGCCTTTGAATCAAATGCTTTTGGTGAAAAAATACCAACAGTTCACTGAGTCAAAGAGTATTATATAAGAATTAAAAAGGTGTTTCATAAATAAATTAATAAGAGAAAATCAATGTAATCAAACAAAAGATTACTTACTTAGGAGCCAAACAAGAATCATTGATAATGCAATAGTCAACAATCTCTAGGACTAATGGATCCAATAGTTTCATTTCCTTGTTATTTGACTTCAAAAAGTGTGAAATGAATATAAGCTTTTCATCAGATTTCCAATCTAAAGAAAACAAACACCTGGACCCTCCATTTGCAAGAATATTTTCAAAGCCAATCACAGGGATAGTGCCTCTAATTTCCTCCCTCCCTCCATTTGTTTTGTTGTGGTCAAATGTAGAAATTTGACCCAACACCTCAGGTAATTTTGTCACCCAAATAGCAAGTTCAGAGATCTCTTCAATCACGGATTGAACTCGAGGATCCATAAAAAACGAATCATCCTGAGACAAATTGATACCAGAAGAGTTGTTGTCCTCACCACGTGAAAGAAGAATCTCTTTTATCTTGTCATTGTAAAAAGAAGAGATCACATGCATATCTCTTTTCATGAACAAAAATTGCTCATGAACGGGCTGCAAAAAACATTAAAAGAAACATGTATGAACATTTAAATCATATCCAATAATAAAAATAATAATATAGAATAAAAGTCAGCTACTCCTTACATCAATAGCAGCCGAATGGATCTCTTGATCTGACATCAAACCTGCTGGGAGAATGAACTGTATTGTACCCTAGGAATCAGGCACATTAACACTCATACTGACATTCCTCACAACATTATCACTCCCCCCAACATTCCCCATACTTCCCCCTGTAGTACCCACAACATGTCCATCCAGAAACTTCAATTTACCACTAACAAGATACACATCAGACAGTAAAATCCCACACCCAAAACTTTTGGACAATTTTTCCTTCTTAATTCTATCCTTAATCAACTCATCATTCCAATGTTGAATTAAGGGTAAAGAAGTATTTAATACAACATTCCTAAATTTCAACCTATGAAAGTAAATAATCTCTAACATCAAAACACAACCACAACAGTTCTAAATTTCTCCTTTTTTGTAACTTTTAACACCTTCACACAGTTTTTCAAGAACATATTTACACCTATTCAAATTCTTAATTTGTTCAACATCATCAAGTGCCTTGACAATCCTAAGATCAGCAGTTCTGTTAGAAGTTGGAGCTAAAAACGTGGATATAGCATGCATAACAAAGAGTTGCTTAAACTCATCTCCACCTTGACCTAAAGTAGGTATCCTAGCTTCTAACAAATTAAGTGGAATTTGATCATTTTCATCTGTAAACCCAAAATGCAATCTCCAATTATGTTTGAAAATAAAGTCTGGATTATTTTTATTAGCAGATCTAGGTATCTCTCAACATTTTTGTGGTTTAAAGGAAGGCAAAACACGTCATACACATCATACTCATTCACCACAAACTCCTTATAATTACCAATTGAAAACATGCAGCTACCACAGTCAAAAGAATCAATTAGCCACCTGTACATACTAGCAGGATTCCTTTTCAACTTCAATGATAACAACCCTCCAAAATTGATTTCATTTACAGAATTTTTTTAATCAAGAGTAAAGTTAGACACCTAAATTTAGTTTTAAATGGCCGCAATCTGCAAAATAGAAATAATAATGCTATCAACATTAAATCAACATCAAGTTAACAAATAAAAAAATCAATGCAGTTAGACAAAATTTTTTCCAAAAAAAAGAGAAGCTAATTTTTCACATGATATGTACGATGATAATGAAGTATTAGAGAGAGAAGTTCACAAATACTGTAAGCTCAATGCATTCAAGGGCAGATTATAGAATCTAACAAAGCACTATTGTTGGTAGCAGGGCAGATTATAGAATCTAACAAAGCACTATTGTTGGTAGGCTGTCCAACTTTCACATTAGAGTAGGAAATCATGCATGCTTGAACACCAAGGAACAACACAAAAGTCGACTTGTTCTTTTTCATAGCTAAGTTACTTACGTAGGTACATCACCACCAGATTCACCAGCTTCAACTATTGGTTTCTTCGTTCTAGTCCTTGGCTTCTTAGGACTATCATGAGCAGCAACTTCAACTTCAGCTTCATCTTTATGAGTTCTCTTACGATGAGATGATGGTGATATAATTGTAGAAACTTGATGCTCAAGAGCACCTTCATGAACCTCAATAGCAACACTCTTTTTCTTGTTAACTTTAGTTTTATTCTTCAAGCCTTTGGCACCATTATTATACAAAAGAAATCAAAATGTAAATTATAGTGACCTTTCTGAAACAATAAGGACCAGAAAATTTAAGACTAGAGAATCACATAAATCAACCATAAAAAACAGAACCATTGCAAATTACATAATGCAGGCCAGTAACCAAAGTATCCAAACACAACAATCCAGTAAAATTAATTCAAACAGTAGAGACAAAGATCATCATTGAGTACACAAATTCTGAAAGTAATCGAACAATATATAATTAAGCAGTGAATACAAATTCTGAACCTACTAACCTACTCACAAACAACGTACATAATTTTTGACACTGAAAATGATATATACACTAAATGTACTAAATATCTAACATAGGTCATTTAATCAAAGACACATGAGTAGCAACACATAGTTGAGACTTAAAAATCTGATCACCTCATAACCAACAATTTAAATATCATAAACCATTGATTCCTGAACAAGTAACTAGGAATGATGTAACCCATATCTCACTAGGAGGCAAAGGTACTGGAAAACTTGCCCTTAATTGGGCACTAACTGATAACTCAAACAAACACATTGACAAAGAAGCTAAAAATTGAAGACAATAATACTCCAAATAAACTGAAGCACAAACAAGATTGCATAATCCATCACGAAGACAGTAAAATGAGCCCAAAACGAAGTTTCTTCTATGCTACAAAGTGGTCAAAACCAGCATGATGAGGCGAACATCCAAAGAATTACAAGTTATAACAATCACCACAGTTTTCTAATCATACTTCCAAGCTAATCGAGATTCAACAAGTCCAACTACACCAATCAAAGGCACCAACAATTCCATAATATAAATATATAATTTAGCACTGTGCGCCAACATAAACACATATTCTGAAGCATTACCTTCGAAAAATCGAAAAAGCAGTGCAAATTATGAAAAAAAAAATCGAAAAACCCTAGATCTTCAATAATCTTCAATACGAAACAAAATTCAAACAAAAATCATGCAAATAGTTTAAATTAAAGAAAAACAACAATGAATAACCTTAAAACTGCAGAAATCAAATGATAAACAAAAATTATACCAGAAAGTGGTTGAGTAGCTGAAGAAAGAAGGCCTTTTCTCCGTTGAAATGTACCACCACCTCTAGTTCTTGCCATTGAAGAATAATTTGAGCAATTTTACAGAAAGATCGAAGCTGATTTTGTAGAGAGAGAAAATGGAAGAAGGGAAGCTCGGAAGAGAGAGAAAGTGTGTAGGCTGCGTTTTTTTAGGAATAGAAATCAAAAACATGCGTTTTGGGTGGGAATAGAGGAAGCAGTAAGATGTTGGAGAGAAAGAGTCACGTGACAATACCGGGTCCACTATAATTTATTGTGGACCAGGTTTATTTAAGTTTAATCATGTAGTAAAACCCGAGCTGGAAAAGTGGTACAGGTGGCCAGCTAAGAGCAAATAGAATGAAGGCTAATTTTGAGGGCAAAAAAGTACAAACACTGTAGATAAGCAAAGTGAAGGTTGTTTTCGAGGGCAAAATCGGCAGAGCACTATATATAAGCAAAACATCTCTTGAAGCAATCCTTATTTGTGTCTTGGTGCTTTTATAGGTTAGGGATACATCTTCTCTTTTTGTAAGTTAAATGCTGGTAAGAACATCACCCAAAACTTCTCTATATGGTGGATCCCTTATACAAGTTGGATAAGTATCATTTTATAAATTTTCTTACTCCATCCATTTGTATATTGACAGCTTTTATGTCTCGATTAATTATAAAATCATCCGAAAAATGTATGAAAGCAATTCCTCAGGCAGCTCCAATCATAATTTTAAGCCGCAAGTCCTATGTTTGTGATTGAGAACCTTTGTTACGAAGGCGGAGCAAACTTTTCAACAAGTGGGTTCAAATCAATTTAAACTAAATCTTGATCAAAAGTAAATGAATTTATAATCCTAATTATTAATAAAAACATTTATATAAACTTTAATATTGACTTAAAAATCCTAAAAACAAATTCATATTATATTATATATATAATTACATATTGCACATATATACCCATACAAATAAGAAGAGTGTTTTAAATATTCGTTTTTTTTTTTTTACAAAAATTAGTGGTGTCAATTGACCCCGTTGCCTTAAACTTAGCTCCGCCCAAGTACGATGCACACACTTGTACTAATTTATACTAAGTATTATAACGACTAAAAATTGTCTACTTACTACTATTTCATCATATCTTTTTTCAGATTTTCCTTGTGCACTTTTCTTACTTCATTTCTTTCTTTGTTAAAGATTTTGGCAATGATATAACATAGAAAAAATTGATCAATTTTTGCATATGTAGAACTTAATAAATTAGGTTCTAATTAAATTACAACAAAAAAATAAAAATAAATATAAAATTGGCTATGAAAATGCATGAAATAAATTATAGAAATTAGCTACTTACTACTATTTCATCATACCTTTTTTTAGATTTTCCTTGTGCACCTTTCTTAACTAATTTCTTAATTGTATTAAAGTTATTTTATGTTGAAAATGCTTAAAAAAAATTTAAAATTTCTAAAATTTGACTAGCCGAATTTTATTTGGTTGCCAAACAGAAAGAACATATAGTACCCCTGATTGGTTATAGAGCAAACAAAAGTAGAAAACTTAATAAATTAGTACAAGTTTAAATCCATAAAACTTAATTTTGAATATCTAGCTAGATTGTAGATAATTGAGTAGTAATCTCATTTTCAATAATTTCCATGATGGATAACTGTTGACTTTCTCATGGTTACCCTTGATATGTCATCATCCTTGCCTTCTTGATAGGGATTCCAGAACTTTTTTCATTGATGGTCGAGCATTGGGTTCGAATGCAATGCATGACACAATTAATTTCGCAATTGCTTCTATGACTTTTGAAGGATACTTTCTCTCCAACTTACTATCCCTAACATTTTTCAACTTTCTCTTAACAGACAAATGAGGTTTGATCTAGTGCCCCAAGAGTTTCTTGCATCAGGACGGGTTGCATCAAGTGCTCATAAGCTAGTACGAACTTGAACTAACACAATACCAAAGTTGTACACGTCTAAGGTGGAGCAAGTTTTTCAACAAGTGGGTTCAAATCAATTTAAACTAATTCTTAATCAAAAGTAAAT